GCAGCATTCTCTGTCCTGGTTCCCGCTTCAGCCTCTGCCTTCTTGCCAAGTCTGTAAACCTGGCTCACTTCAACCTTGACATCATCCCCAAGGAGGCCAGCAACAATATCTTCAAAAGCTTTCAAGTCATGCTTTTTTCTCACCTCAGGCTCACTGGAGTCACTCTCTGGTATGTTATGTATGATGAGATTACACTCCCTTCCTGCTTTCCCCTGGGAGTCGACAATCCTTTTGATCTCTTTGGTGCTGTTCTTCAGTTGTTCCGTGAACTTCGGAACCTCCTTCGCAGCTTCCTTTTGTTCTGCCACAGCACTATCCAACTTCATCTGCTGGTCCTTGATTGCTTTCACTGTCTTCTCCATCTGTTTGATTTTATCCTGCAGCTGTTCGCCCACCACATCTTTGGAGTGAGCCTCTTTGATGGAATCCACAATTCTCTTTTCGGCTTGTTCGATGCGGTTCTCTAGACCCTTATTCAATTCTAGCATAGCCCTGAACTTTGGTTTGCAGTCCATGCACAGCCAAAGAAAGTCAAATTTGGTCAGCGCCTTGAATGCCTCAACCGAGATCCCTTGACATTTATGGTGGTACCACTCACAGCATGCATCACACATGATACTATCCTCTTTGGATAAAGAAAAACCACATACCTTTTGGCCTCCTTTGCATACGTACTTTTTCTTCGACTTTCCTCTCGCTGGTTTCCAGCCTCCTTCCGCTCCTTTTACTTCTTCGTTTTCCGTATCCCTATCATTATCATTGTTCCCATCTACACTTTCCACGTCCGAATCGTCCGCGACAGATTCGGCTGCCTGCGCCGAGTTTGGCGCAGCCCTCTTAGCCCGCGCCATCTTGCGGTTTGCCGATCAACTTGCTTTTCTTATACACGGCCGAGAATAAATTTTCTTATTTTTTCAATATAAATGTTTTTGATTTTTCGTTAATTCTTTTTCACCCACAAACAATTCTCAGGTATTTCTTCTTCGTAACAAAACACCACACCGGCGCTCTTCTTATCAACTCGAGCTTGACCTTGAGACCGGGACCTATCGTGACGCACGTCCGACTCGGGCGAGGAATGGGGAAGGAATGGAGGAATGGGGAAGGAATGGAGGAATGGGGAAGGTCGTTACGTTATACATATTCTTTGGACCATGCAGATTCATTTAAGACGCTACAGACTAGCGACCTAACATGACCTGAAAATACAGTTATTAGCTCAAGACCCGGTGTAAATCAATGGTCAATTATATAAACTTTCAGCTGTCTTACGACGACGCGTTTTGAGCAATCGTGACAAACCATCTGGGCCCTTTTTCGGGTGGAGAGTCAAAAAGCAATTTATTGCTTCCGCTGACCAGGCTATCACGCGACTTGACGCGTCTCACTCTCCAGCGAGTAGGGTAAAGAATGAAGAAATGTGGCAATAAAACAAGTATCTAATCAGTTTCAATGAAAACTATGCGGTCAGTTTTCAATTTCGGCCCATGCCTGCTTGTTGTAAAGATTATGCGCCACTTAAACGAAAAAAAAAACTGGGAAGTGCGATCCATGCGACATGCGATACGTGCATGACATGTGTCGCAGAAGGTGGCATTTATGCCTACCGGGCCTGGCGCTTCAACACTGATGCAGCTCAGCAGCCGAGGTATAGGGTCCTACAACGCTGCAGCGCCGGTGAACCGGTGAAGCCGAGGGGAATATCAGCTGTTCCTCAGATCTCTGGGACGAGCTTCTAAACGAGCGCACGCGCCGTGCCTACAGCAGACGTTAAATATAGGCCCGAGTGATTGTGATGGGCAGCCCATGGTCTGGGCCGGAGCCAACCCTCGAACAGCTGAAGGTTACCCAGCAAAAACAGCGGTGCGAGGCGACCACCGCGGCACAGCTCAGACGGATCAGCCACGGGAGCGACTTTTCACGGGAATTTAGAACGATACATTGTCCCGATGCGCACTTATAACTTTTTTACTTTATAGGTGCCTAACAAAAAAACGTTGCGTTACAAAACATTATATCCCGGGATACAAATAAAGACGATCACGAAAAGCAGCGCATTTTCACTCAAAATATCAGCCCGATTTTCTCGTAATTTCACCGCCGTTATCCTAAACCGGCTGCTTTTGGCCGCGATAACCAAACATTGTGGCGGACTTTTGAGCGGCGATCACAACAGAAAGCGCTCATAAACCGTCTGCCCGGCGGAGGGGAGACGGTTTATCTGGCGCCGTGCCAGGGACGCCCGACGACGTAATTAGATACGGAAGTGTCGGTCACACACCGACAGCGGCCACTGGAATATTGTAAACATTCACATACCTACGCGAATGTACATACATACTTACCAATAGATAAGCCGGAAGACCAATGGATGGCTCATTCGAATACGCAGGCATAACTTGGGAAGTCTCATTCAAAAGTATGAGGTAGCCTTTCAAGCTACGGATACATGTAGGCAGACGCGTAAATGTGCACGGCTCACGACAGATCAAAGCAACTACACCTTTTTGCGTTGTTCGATGGCCAATCGTCATAAACATTTCGGCATCAGTTTGGACAAGCGTCATTCAGAATAACCCATCGGCGATGTGCATCACTGTTTGACGGTCGGCAAAACAGGCTGGACTCCATTTAACCATTCTGCATAACTCTTTGTCATTGAGCACAATGTTCGTCATAGGCAAAACACTTTGTCAGATTGTCATAATGCTTCGACATTTCACAAAATGGTTAGTCGATGTGCAAAATTCATCGGTACTGTGCGTAAACAATGGCTGTTTATTTAAAACTTTCGTCAATGATCAAAATGTCAATGATGTAGTGCCTATCTAGCCATATTCAATGTTTAACGTTAATCACGCATTCAGGGATGAGGCTTATGACAGTTCCAGCGCAATTTGCAACCAATTAACCATTGAATTCCGAAAAAGGCAGTTATACCATAGCTCTACGAGGAGACTGCCGGCGCCATACCGAGTAGGCATGTACATAGATTCTTGAGCGTCGGACTCCTAAACGCTTCGATACAAACCACGAAGTCGGCCGTCATTATCGCGTCACTGCCCGTGCGATGTCATGGGACAACGCCTCGGGCGGCCGCGCCGGTCGGACTCGCGAGGGAATGGCTGACAGATGGCAAGCCGGGCCCTGCCGGCCGGACACCTTGGTTTTTGGGGCGGGCTGACTTATCCAGCCTGTTGCCTGTTCCTTGGTGTTTGAGGCGGGGTTAACTTATCCAGCCTGTTGCTCTGTTGTAGTGGTGTCAATTACGGAAAATCGGAATACCGATACCAAACCAAATACCAACCAAAACTGTGAGGAAATACCGAAACCAAACCAAATTGGGAAAATGAGGGAAATACCAACTTTATACCGATTTCTTAGACTCTTATACATTAGTGAGGGTTCATGATACCAACAAAATACCAAACACATTACGATTGAAATACCAAATACCAAGTTGGTATCGGTTTGGTACCGGTATACCAAAAAGCTGGTATCCGATTGACATCTCTACTCTGTTGCCTGTCCATTTTTCAATCAGCCGATAACATGTCAGCTACGTCCATCTACATTGTACCTATGGCGCTCATGAACGCTACCGATTTTTATGTGGATCAATGGTCTACGAGTTTCGGCACCTATGCCTCGCACTGCACTGTATAAACGCGGTCATATTTATACTTCTCTGTAAAGGGGCGATCTGTTTTTAGTTTTGACGAAATGTTATGAGGAATGCCGAAATTAGCATGGGGATGTTTTGGTGAACGACGAAGGGATATTAACGAATGACGAAGCATTTATCCAAATCGTCAAAAGTTTTGCCGGAACTCAATCAGTTATAGGGAATAGCGAAGGTAATACCAACTGATGAACTGTGGAGTGGGATCAGCATTCCGTTTTGCCCATATGCTGAAGGTTTTGCCGGAATGCCTCTCACTGGCGCCACCTATGTGCTGATCGGACGAATGGGTTTTGCTGATTGGCCATCGAACAACGCAAAAAGGTGTACTTACAAAAGTTAAGATTCATAAGAAATCTCAGCTAAATTCGGATAACAAACCAGCTACGGAAGTGGAGTGAATTGTAACATCACCGCAGTGGGCCCTATGAGTACTATATAGGCACATAAAAATTAGGTAAGTACAACATAGCTCAAAATGTCACTCTGTAATTACAGGTCAGCCATCATTGAAGCCATATTATTACTACAGCGTCCATTGTAGGCATGTAATTACACACACTAAAAATCAGTCTGTTACTCGAGCAAACTGAAAGCCGATTAAGGACTATACCTATGCGCAAACCATTAGGAGTCCGGCGGTTTTGCGTCTATCCATTAAAATGTCGTTTATGTTATAGAGGCGATAGCATCAACTGAGCTTCACGATAACCGGCGGACGGATTTAATGCCGGTCGTTCAACTATTGATGTACCGCGCGTGGATTCCAACTGTGGTTTCCACTCTTATACGGCCTTGGTTTCCACCAGTGCTCTGTAGCAGGGCTGCGGAGTCTGAGTCAGGGTCGGCCGGAGTCGACATTTCTGCCAGGGGTCGGAGTCGCCAAAAAATCTTACCAACTCATACTAAGGAGTCGGGATCGACATTGCATGGCGCAAAGCCATACTCGATTACTGCCTGGTTGAAAAAAATTATGTTCATTGACCAAAACAATATTTTCGTGGAGGCTAAGGCTTTACTTCTGCTTTATGCGAGCGTTTTGGGCGAGAAAAGCAGAAAACGGCGGCTGCACCAGCACCCTTCATCTCCGGTTGCTATTTATCAAGTATGCTTGCAACGGAAGGAACGCGCAAGGGATTGTTTCATGCAGCGTCACAACCAGACCTCTGACCTGAGCACTACTAGCATTACGTTGACTTGAAACAAGATGTCCTAAGTAGGAGTCTGTGTCGATTTTGAGAGCCGGAGCCAGTCACCGAAATACGCAGCCCTGCTGACTACAGGGTTGGGGCGCTGCAGGCGACACCGATCGGCCCACCTGAGTAGTCGCTGCTGGCCGACTGCTGGCGACCGTAGGCGACGCTGTAGTGCTGCGCCTCCTGCAGCTCCTGCTGCTGCTGGTATTGCTGCTGGAACTGCTGCTGGTGGTGTTGCTGAAACTGTTGCTGCTGGCGCTGCTGGAACTGCTGTTGCTGCTGCTGGTACTGGAGTGCCGGCTGGGAGCCAAAGTGCTGCACGCTGCTGCTGACCTGCTGGTGCACCTGCTGGCTGCTGCTGGTCTGCTGGCTCATCTGTCCGCCACCGGGCAGCTGCTGCACCGAGCGCTGCTGCAGCTGGAGCTGCCGCTGCTGGCTGTGCTGGCTCAGCTGGCCGCCCGGAATCTCGGCCTCCAGCACGCGCGAGTCCTGTCGGCTCTGCTCGTGCGCCTCTCCGCCGGCGATGGCGTAGCTCTGGGCGTCCTGATGGTGGTAGCTGTCACTGCGCACCACGCGGCCCCGCAGCTGCTGCTGCTGCTGCGCCAGCTGCCGGTCCATGGCTGGGGTCTGTCCGTCAGTCCTTGGTCTCCCGGCTCCTTCCGCCGGCCCGTGTCAGCACGCACTGTCGCCGCCGGCGGTGTACCCGCGTCGGTCCGCGGCAGAGGTGGCAGCGGGGGCGGGCCGGCGGACGGTCCCCCGGGCTGGACGCAGCTGGACCGACGGACGGGCGCTGTTTGCTTACATAGACGACGGCGACACGATCGGAGCCGATCGGCTTCAGAGGGTCAGACACGCCGACCCGATCCACTGCGGCCTGTCCGCTCCAGAATACGACCGCCAACATAAGAACCGACCAACCTCGGAGGCGAAGAGACACACGCGGCCCGCACGACACCGCTGTAACACAAATAGATCACCGCCGGGCGCGGAGGGCTTTCTCGGCGGGCGGGCTCCCGCAGCGGAACAAGTGGGTTCGAGCCGCAATGCCTTTTGCGCTCTATTGACCATGACCTTTTTGCACCATCTTTATGATATTCCAATTATGCAAGCATTTGATCAATACCAAAACGTTGCATTGAATGGCTATCTGGACAGACAGCATCTTATTTTGCTAGAACCTTATTTTGCAGTCGACTGCTCGTATTTAGCGCGGAGAAGTCGGTCGGCTGTCGACATTCGGCAGATTCTGCCGATCGCCTACCGGGACCCGAGTACCAAATCGAGACCGGTCGACCAGGTATTTGGGGGGGGGGGGGGGGGAGGAGGACGGGTCCTGTTTGAGAGCCGCACCAGTCGCCGTCCCAGGAAGAGCCTGTTGTCAGGCGAGAATAAGAGGGGCCGAACCATCCGCAACTCAAATACGACCAGCCAAATACCGAAGTTAAATGTAACTTTACCCCGGGACCCTGCATATCAATGTCGTTATTTTCTTTTTTCAAATAAAACTTAACAGCGACGGATATTGTAGAAATCGTCACAGAAAATAAATATATACAAGACAAACAAATCCACTTGGCACGGTAGGTACTACATAACATCATTATACCAATGGAACACATCAGACAAGGCACCAGCACCTGTTCATCATTTCTGGAAAGCCAATAATCGAATTTCCATCCCTCAAACAATAACTTACCTTCTAATTGCAGGCATGATTTTAAGAGCAACCAAAGAAAATTAACTCTCTTCTTTTCTCTTTTCTGTCTTCACTCAGCCACAAAATATCAACACAGGAAAATTTAATCGTGATGATCGTTGGCGACGGGCCCCCCACACGTCAACAATGCCAATCCGCTCCGCCCCCGTGTCGAGGTCGGGCGGCTGTGGGCCGATCGGGGCGACCTCTGATTGGTCAGAATAAGCGGCCATCTGATTGGCGGAGCGGTGACCGGCCGGCCCTCTGATAGGGCGCCGCCGACCTGACCGCATCATAACAGGGACGGTCAAGCATTGAGCTTCGTGATAAATAGCGTGCAAAAATATTGGCAATTCTATGGAGATATGGGGTATCTGGGGTACCTATTCACCCCTCCCGCAGCATCCTAGATCGTTCAAAATTCGCCGCTTTCCCCGAATTGATAAAAAAGTTATTTTCGCAAGAAAAAGCCTTACTTTCACTGGCACAGCAACGCATAAGGCGCCTGAATTCGAGGCGCCTGAATTATTCGTAAAGTTTTTTTTTTTATGGAGGATACCCCGTAGCGTTCAATACTGCATTTCAGCATTGGCCAGTGTGGGGATATGACACAATTAGGCAAAAAAGTTGCCGAAAATTTATCCTTATAATCAATAACTGACCAAAACACCCCGGATCGATGAACATAGCAGCACACGCCCGGGCCGGCCGGTCTCAGCCGGCAACGCTTCAGGTGATAGACGATGGGGAGGGGGGGGGGGGTTAGGCCGCACCCGAGTGTCTCGACAACCAAATGAGATAGAAGACGGGGTAAACAACGATCGATACCTCCCAACGAGTATGTTCTAATAATGGTCATTTTTGCTCGGGTAAATCCTCGCCCTTATCAGGGGGGCGACACGGCTATTCGCGCAATGTATTAATTTATGGGCCGCGCGGGGCCTCGCGATGACGCGGCTGGAGGCAACTGCTCAGCGCGCTAGGATACTTCTGGCGGGGCGGGGCGCTGAACGGTGTGCAATGAATGGGTTATGGTCGGGCCGACAGAGATGAGGTATTGAATTTGAATTGACATCAGCAATCGGGTGGGGAAGGAGAACGTTCCTAATCGAGCTTGGGTTGGGGAAAGCCGAAAATATCGCGATCGGCTCATAGCTCAGACAGGGCCGGGTGCCGTACCATGTGTTGTATACATATTTAGGCGGGCAGACAGAGATGAGTTATTGGATTTAAATTCACCTTACCATCGGTTTCTGGTGGGGTTTGAAAATGGTTTTAGTCAAGCTCGGAGTGGGGCAACCCACTGGCGGATCCAGGGGAAGGCATTTGGGGCAAATGTCTTCCCCCACATTGGCAGCGCCCGAAATCGCTTTTCGAGAATCAAAGAAAACTTCACAACTTTTCTGAGGAAATGTTGGTTAATCACACTGCACAGCAGTGCGCAAGGAATCGAAATCAGAGTTTTTTTTTAATTAATTCCGAGAAACCTTTTTGGGGTAAGCCCCCGCAGTGTCCAAGACCGCTTCCTGGATCCGCCAGTTGTGAATAAGTCACGGTCGATACCGAGCTTCGGCGGGACCAGGCGCTGTATACGTTGTTCTTTCAATGAAGAGGTGGACAGAACAGACACCTAGCCCCACATCCTACTGCTATGCCCGTGCTTCTGTGGGTGAAGCACTAAAGCATCACGGAATCCCACAGGACCTGCGAGTCGACGAGGTGGGCCGCTTTGGCCGCCGGGTACTGCAGCTCCCTGGAGTTGCCTGGGACCGATGGCAAAACAACAGCTCCGGCGGTGCCCCTATGGGCCGTAGTAATTAGCGAATTCCTGTAATGTAGAGATCATATCCTCAATAATCTCCATTACCATTTTATATTCCTAAACAGTATGACAGAACAATTATGCTTGCCTACGTTCAGGCATTACCTCTGATGGTCATACGTCCAGTACAACATGTGTTGTCTGTCAAACAACAATCGACGACGGGATCTCTTCTCATTATCTCTTAAGCCATCGGTTGTCAATTCACCCACCCCGTTTCCCTAAAAATAGACGGTCAGATTCGGCCTGGGTCCTTACGACCCCTCTAGATTCGCCAGAGACGGGATTGGATCGCCGTTATTGCACCCGTCTTAGTGTCTTTAATACTATGACAGCTTCGACCACGGACTTCGGACGGGGTGATCGTTCCACGAATGTGTTACGGGCGGCTGTGACCGCCCGTTGTGGCATGCCTGGCGCCGCCCGTGGCGCCTCCCCGGCTGGCCGCGCCCGGCGCCGCCCCTGCCGCGTGGCCCTGGGGCGGGGTCGAGGGCTGGCGCTGGCTGGGCGGTCGGCGGCCCGGGAGAGGCAGGGAGACCGTGGTTACGAGCGGTTGGCTCTGTGGTTCTTGTTTGGGCCTCTGCCGATAATACAGTAAAGCATCGAGTCTGAGTGTGTTCAGCTCCCGCAACATTTGGCGCGGTCGGTAGGACTGCAGAAGACGACAAAGGGTGAGTTCATTAATTTCATTTGATGATATTTATTGAAATTTAGTTCATGAATGTTGATTATCGTAACTAGTCTGTGCTCAACAAAAAGCGGGCGGTTTGCTCAAAAATAGAACGCCGATATTTTCTGTTCTGAGGGGAACGTTAGGAATAAGGCGGTCCGCCTGGGTGCAGTTTTGAATAATTTGGTGAATTGTTTCCGCTGGCCATGGATTTCAACGACACTATTTTGGTATCGCGAACCCCTCGTTTTGCGGGTATAGAGACAGATGATTGGGAGCGGTGGATATCTCGTTTCGAGTCGTTAACGGTGGGACTCGGAGACGTTGAGCGAGTTAAGCGGCTGTTGCCTCTGCTGGATGGCGTCGCACTCGATTATGCGCATTCGCTGTATCAGGGTGACAGTTCGTACTCTGAGATAAAGTCAGGACTTGGGGTCCGGTTTGGTCGGTTAATCGAGCCCTTACAGGCGCAGGCCGAGCTGGGGCGCGCCTCCCAGTCGCCGGGGGAATCAGCTGAGAGCTTCGCTGACCGTATTAAGAGACTGGGGCGGGCTGCGTTCCCTCATTCTACCGGTCCGTCAGGGGAGGGAAAAGGTCCTGAGGAAACGTATGCAGAGAGGGCGTTCGTGATGAAAACCCTGACGAGTCGGTTCATATGTGGACTTCGGGATGAGTGGCTCCAGACGAAACTGTGCCACCGTAATCCTGAGTCACTGTCTGCGGCTGTAGCGGTGATCCGAGAGCTGCATAAACGCCAGGAGGTCGTCCAGGCGGTACGCGCTGCTAACCCATCGACGCATACAGGTACTGGGCCCCTTCCCCTGGGTGCTGTAGCGTCAGCTGTTCATGCAGAGGTAGGAGGTGGGTCGCAGCAGGATGCAAGGATAGCTCAGCTGCAGCAGGAGATCGGCCAGCTGCGGTCTTCGTTGGAGGCGTTCGCCGTTGCCAAGACGGACCACCTGCCTGAGGCTGTCAAATGTTACGGGTGTGGTGCCCCCGGCCATTTTCGGCGTGACTGCCCGGTGGTACGCCGTGGTCAGCCGAGAACTGGACCGAGAGCCACCAGGGTGAAATGTTTTTCGTGCGGGCAGGAGGGTCACATTCGGAGCAACTGTCAGTCGGCTGTACAAGCTGCCACCCCGCTCCAACCGTTTTGTTTATTCTGTGGCGAGGCTGGGCACTGGATGGCGGCATGCCATTCTCGCCTGCAGCAGGGGCCTCCAGCAATGGGTGGACGTCGGGGGCTGATGTCGAGGGAAGCCCTTCCATCTGATAAGCCGGCGGAAAACTAGGGGCAGCTGGCCCTGTGGGACAAGAGCCGGCTGCGTGTATCCAGTCCCGATTAACTGCAACAGCCATTCGAGTCCACTTGGGCAGCCTCGAAGTATGGGCGCTGGTCGATTCGGGTGCCGACTTTTCCATGGTCAGGGATGGGCTCCAGCAGCGGTTGAAAACGGAACTGGCTTGTCAGGCCACCACCCCGACGCGGTCCGC